ACACACATGTAGCTGTGTTTCTGCTCATCCACAACTTAAATCTCTACGATCTGCTTATGTTCCTACTCAAAGAGGGTTGTGTCATTATATTAACCACAGAAAAACATGTATCTTACCATTTCTAGCACATTCTTTATTAACTCCCCATTGTTGTTATCTTGTAGCTTGACTCTCTCTGAACCATGACCTGTCTCTCTGTCTCTTTCTTGGGTGACTGACAGCTTAGCTACTGTAATGGGATTTTTCCGGGGCTGCCGCCGAAGACCTCTCAGCAGCTAGAACTGATTAAAAAGGATGAGTAGAACTGCAAAGGACTGCTCTGTTTTGCCTGGTAAATTCCTCTCTACCAAAGGGGGAGTTGTCCAGCCTAGTGGATTAACATCCCACACCACCTGACGCATAACGGTAGCTACGAATAAACTTAGGGCTTAGCTTTTGCTTTTGAATAGTGGGGGTTGGAGGGCACTAGGAGAATGCTTGACTTTTAGAACAATTTGGCAATTTGCTGTCATGTTATTTAGTTTTTACTTATTTGAGCAGTTTTGTTTGACCTGCACCTAAGCCTCTTTCTGCCATGTTTTGAAATATCCTTGCTTTCACTTGTACCTATTGGCCTTAGCCTTTTCAACCATTATTAATGCTGTCTCCATGGTATGGCCGATCTTGCATATTGTGTTCTGTAATATCTAGTCATTTAATTCATCAAACCGTTTGCTAGTTTGTCCTTATTTTGGCTTGCTTGATTATTTTGGCTTACTTGATTGATCATTTCATTCATCTTGTCTGCTTTGCAGATTTGGTAGGGGAAGACATTTCTTTTAATCTCTTCATCCATATTGTGCTTTAATAAACCAGTATCATTCATTTCCGTTAAACTCTGGAGTCTGTGCCTTCTTACTGGTTTAATTTCCAGGTGATAATAAAGGAGCCAGATTTCTGCCAGTCATGAAAGAAGATTAGAAGGGTGTTTGCTCAATGCACTAACACACACACACACACATCCCTTTGTACACTCTCATGTTGCAGTTGTGAACAGAGACCCAACGTGGAGTTTCCCCCATTGCTACAATGCTCATGTTTGCAACTGGTTAGGCTGTCCCAAAATTTCCACTATGGCCCAGTCTGCATCTAGCATTTGCTCTGCTGTTATACCAAACCCACACTGGAACAGAAATTCCCATCTGCATTGCATGCCACTTTCACTATATGAACATAAGAAGAGCCCAGCATCCTGCCTCACACAGAGGACAATTAGGTTCCCTGGAGGTCCAACAATAGGGCAGAGAGGCTGAGGTCTTCCCTTGGCATTGCCTCCTGGCACTGGTGTTCAGAGATCTGCTGCCTATGAACATGGCAGTTCCCATTGGTCACAATGGACAGTAGCCCTTAATAGACCAATCCTCCATGAATCCGTCTAATCCCCTTTTAAAGCTGTCTATGCCTGCGGCCATCACTACATCCCCTGGCAGCAAATTCCACATTTTAAACACTCTCTGTGAAAAGAACTGTTTCCTTTTGTCTGTCTATTGCCCATCAGTTTTATTGGATGCCCTTGAGTTCCAGTGTTTGGGGAGAGGTATAACAAGTACTCTTTGTCAACTCTCTCTGCCCTGTGCATAATTTTTAAACCTCTATCATGACCCCTCCCCCCCGTAGTCATCTCCTTTCTAAACTGAAAAGTGCCAGACTTTTCAGCCTTGCCTCATAGGGAAGGTGCTCCAACCCCATAGTCATCTTCATTGCCCTCCTCTGTACTTTTCCCAGTTCAGCAACATCCTTTTTGAGAAATGTGCAGTTATATACAGCAGAGAATTAAGGTTGCCAACTCCAGCTCAGGAAATTCATGGCGATTCAGGAAGCTAGGTTCCTGGGGAGAGTGAAGTTTTGGGAGAGGTCGAGGGAAGGTTGTGCTCAGTGAGGGATGTGACGTCACATTGTGATGTCACATCCTGTGCAGTGCATTGCAGCCACTTCCAACACGAGCTTTCCAATAGCGCCTTCCTGTGAGATTCTGTTTGAGCATGGGGAAGAATCTAGAGTTGATAATCTAGATTGCTGTCCTCTCTGCACCACAATGCATTCTTTACATTTTCTCAAGGCATCTAGATTATCAATTACACCTTATAGATGTAAAGTGGCATCTATAATGGATATCAGATCCCAAGTCTTGAATCCATTCAGAGGCAAGCCCTGAGGGTCAACAAACTACAGAGATCAGTCCCCCTGGAGGAAAATGGGTGCTCTAGGCTCTATGGTATTGTGCCCCACTGAGGTCCCTGTACTCCCCAGGCTCCACCCCCAAATCTCCAGGATTTTCCCAACCTTGATGTTGACTACGGGGGACCCAGAAACCCTAAGTCACCGCCATTGGCCAGCATAAGAACATAAGAGAAGCCAGTGCTGGATCAGATCCAGTCCAACACTCTGTCACACAGTGGCCCAAAATACCAGGGGCCATCAGGAGGTCCACTGGGGGGGCAGGATGCCAGAAGCCCTCCCACTGTTGCCCCCCCAGCACCAAGAATACAGAGCATCCCTTGCCTCAGCCTGAGAGTTCCTATCTATGCCTTGTGGGTAATAGCCACTGATGGACCTCTGCTCCAGATGTTTCTCTAATTCCCTCTCGAAGCCGTCCATGCTTGTAGCCGCTGCCACCTCGTGTGACAGTGAATTCCGTGTGTTAATCCCTCTTTGGGTGAAGAAGTACTTCCTTTTATCTGTTCTATCACATCATGTGCTTGCCTTGAGAAAATGTAAGGAATGGACTGTGGTGCAGAGAGGACAGCAATTAACCTGGAGCTCATAGCAGTCCTGCCGACACCACCAGTGAGAATATGATCTGCTGAAGATGCCCCCCCCTCAACAGGCAAAGATGGAAGCAGCCAAGTGGATGCTGACATGACCATGTCCCCCAGCATCTACCCGCTGCTGCCCATAATCAGAACATAACCGGGGGGGGGGGCGACAAAGAGAACAAAGGCACGTGCCACTGTAAAAGGGAGAACAGTACGAACAGGAAGAGACCCAAGGCAGAACGAAGACACACCAGGCAGCCTCACAGATGTAGGTTTGATTCTCTTCCTGCATCCATGTCAAAGACTCATAGAATCACAGAGTTGGAAGGGGCCCTACAGGCCATCTAGTCCAACCCCCGTGCTCAATGCAGGGTCAGCCTACATTGTGCCACATTGCTCCCCCACATCTCTGAAGACAAGACTAGGTTCTTCGTGAAAATAGAAAGATAACTAAAAACAGAGAGTTGCCTATCCACAAAGACATGGCTGACGTGGACCTATCCAGACTAAGGCCACCAAACCCCAACAATAAGATCTGCACAAATCCTGCAATCACAACATTTTGATCTAGAGAATGAATGCTTGCAAACATGGATGCAATCAGTTCCACCAGACATCTGTAACCTGATAAACACCAAAGAGAGGCCCTCAGGATTTGACTTGCCACATAAAGTACGGAAGACAGCTAATAGAATACAAACAGGCTTTGACAGTTGTGCAGACCTGTTGTGATGGTGGTGCAGCCTGCAAAACAATTTCACATCAGTCACACTAATGTGAGCATTGTGCTTTCCAGGGAGATGTGACAGAGCTCTATGAACTCTCCCCAGCTGCGACTGAGCGGATTGGAAATTTAGATATTAGTATTTAGGGGGATTACCCAGTCGGTCTGCATACCCATTGTATCAATTTGGTTATGTCTTTTATATTATGATATGCTTCCTGTGTGTAACTCTGCCATACAATAAATAAATAATATTCCGTCCTGCAACAGACCAGCTCCCCAGACTAGAACAAAGCTCTGCTTTCCCAAAAGAGCTTATGGCAACAGTCAATCAGGCCTGAAGGGGAAATAGAACCACCCAGCGGCTAAGGAGAGCCTGGCAGTTTACCAGGTTCTCCTGATTCTCCAGAAACAGTAGTTGCTACAGGAGCTGTGGGAAAGCTTTGAATGATAGCTGCCAATAACAAATTAGGGCTGCCAGCGGAGTGCTGGCAACCAGTGGGAGGTTTTGGGAGAGGTGGCATGTAAATAGGCATCACAGCATTCTGGCACAAACCTGGAAGTGACATCATCATGTCTGCTTTACCATAGAGTTTGGGTGAAATCCTAGAATGCCGCACCAACATGACTTCTAGAATGGTGCCTGAACTAAGCTCATGAGCAAGAAAGAGGATCACACAGCAACACTACAAAAGCCAATAGAAAGAGATGTGTACAAAAGGACGCTGAAATGGCAAAATTAATTGCTAATATGCTATATTGAAAATGAAGCAGAAAAAATACAAAAGGTATTACATATATGTTATATATAACAACCATCCTTTAATAAAGTATATACAGTTCTTCAGTAGTTCCAAATTGTAGTTTGTTCCAATGAAGGTTCCGGATATTGGTAACTTCACTTCGATATTCTTCTTCTTCAAGAAGTAATAACTGTTACATGTTTTTCATAAGCATCTGAGGTACTGATGTATCAACAATAACTTCCCATTCAAAATGATTTCCATAGTAAAGATACATTGCTCATGTTGATGGGGAACCAGTCACAATTTTTTCAAGAAACCACTCCGTAACATTATTAAGCTGGTATTACCTCATTCTTCATTCAGACCTGTTCTTGCTCTCTATCTAAGCTGTGCATGCAGGCACAACACAACACAAAAACTTCTCTAATCCTAAAAACAGCTCTCTTTCTGGCCTCCATTTTCATATTGTTTAATTTGCTGTCTCAAAAAAGCATCTGCAGTGTGTGCAGGGAACCTCAGTTAAACCTGGGAACCCTGCCAGAAAAGTGGCTGACGAGAACTGAGACGACTTACAAAAAGTGACATCTGGTACCCAGGCATGGTCCAATCAGGAAACACTGGAATAGTTTTCTTGAAAACAAAATGTGCTTCCTCTTTCTCTTTGATTGTGAGTGAGACTTCAGGCTCTTATCTGGTTTCACAGTATACAATAAGAAGGCAGTTTCTGGGGGAGCAGAGAAGGAAAGACCCCTGATCCAGCAACTGATCATCCTTGATCCTCCGGCTCTTCAAGGCAGCCCTTAGCCAAATCCCTTGAGGGACTCCTGCCTCAGGCCGAACAGCCACTGGCAAAACACAGGTAAGTTTCACAATGGAGCCAAGGGTGACTCTGTGGGTCAGTTTGCGGACCTGAAGACAGCAGGGAGGGGGGAGGGCTAAAGCCCATCTGGGAGGACAGAACTCATAGGGTTGCCAACTCTAGTTTGGAAATTCCTGGAGATTTAGGGGCAATGCCTGGGGAGGGCAGGATTTGGGGAGGGAGCTCAGAGAGGATTTGATGTCATAGACTCCACCTTCTGAGGCTGCCATTTGCTCCAGGGGGTCTGATATCTGTGTCCCAGGGAACAGCTGTAATTCTGGGAGAACTCCAGCTCTCACCTGGAGGATAATTATGAAAAGCAAGATAGGCTTCGGTGTGAATACAATTGGGGAAAATGGACTCACCGAAGAAAACCACTGTTCTGTAGCTTTAACACACCTGGTTACACTTTGTATATTGTTTATAGTGCAGATTTCTTATTCTAGGCAACTTTCTTCCTTATATAAAGTAAAAAGGTAAAGGTTCCCTTGCTCGAAAGCCAGTTGTGTCCGACTCTAGGGTTGCGGTGCTCATCTCCGTTTCAAAGCCGAAGAGCCAGCGCTGTCTGAAGACATTTCCATGGTCATGTGGCCGGCATGACTAAACACCAAGGCGCACGGAACGCTGTTACCTTCCCACCAAAGTGGTACCTATTTATCTGCTTGCAATTCCTTGCTTTCGAACTGCTAGGTTGGCAGGAGCTGGAACTAGAGACGGGAGCTCACTCTGTCATGCGGCAACTCGGGTCTTGAACTGCTGAACTACTGACCTTCCACAGCCTGCAGTTCAGCATCTTAACCACTTGAGTCACTGCATCTCACATCTCACAAATACAGGCAAAGTCAGTAGATAAGGTTATGAGTACAATAGAAAATCTTTTCAGTCTGCTTTTCCACGTCACAGCTCCGTTAAGACGCCTTGAAGAGAAAACATTCTAGGAACACAGTCAAAAACAGTATTGAGAATATTTGCATGAATCATGGTATACATTTTTTGAGTATATGAAACAAACCACCTGCCAGAATTCTTCAGTACCTAAGACATACTTAGATTTTGTGGTTTTTTTAGTTACAGCTTGTTTGATAGATAAAAATGAAAACTGTCATTATCTGGGGAGGTGATCGATCCTGTGTTAATGTAGCATGTGTATTGTTGGAATTTAATTTTTTCAAAAAAAGAGAGAAACATTTTTAGGAACATAGTCAAAACAGTATCGAGTATAATTGCATCAGTTTTTTGTATTGTACTCATACCATTATCTACTGGCTTTGCCTATATTTATGAAATGGACTTTATGTAAGGATGAATGCTGTCTAGAATAAGAAATCTGCTTTGAAATCATTATACAAAGTATAACTGTGTGTTAAAGCTACAGAATAGTGGTTTTCTTCGGTGAGTCCGTTTTTCTCACCTGGAGGTTGGCAACCTGCCTTCACATCACATTTGTAATATAAAGTTCTTGTGTGGTTCTGCAGCGAGCATAAGGACTTCGTAAGGTGCAGATTTTTGTACAGGTGCAGTTAGCCAGCCAGGAGGAAGCAGAGACATATATCAGCTTCTCCATTACATGAACAATAAGCAGAAAATCAGTGGCACTTGAAATGTCATTTATGATAGACAGGTGGTCTGGTTTGTTGTGGGGTCGGAACGGAAATCCTGGAGGCATGCCTGGGGTCAAAGTTCAGGCTTCCCAGGTCAGAGTTTGAATTCCCACAGAGACAATACTCTGCCAGGAGAATTGGCAAGCAGGAAACAAGTTTGCTGCGTTTGCATGAGGCTGCTAAATTCCTCTTAGAACACAATGAATTGCTGGGAGCGAATGAGTTTTGCAACATTCAAAGATTATCTTGCCTGTAAAGGAACATTCTGTGAACTACACTGTATTTTCTAGCTTACAAAATCTTTTGCTCTGTTGTAACGATGTACAAATGAATGAGCTTGCTTTTCTTTCTGTTAATAAAAACGCTGCTGTAACACAGCCTGTCAGAGGAACAGGGACAGTCTTGGAACAGAGAGAGAGACAGACAGAGCTGATCTGCAGCTTAAAGAAATCTGTGTGTTGTATGATTCTTGAACCCTATCTAAAGTCTTCAAGTGGCGCCCGGAGCAGGGACTTGAAACTTGGAAGACTCCATCTCATCAACCGTCTGGCAAAGACCCCAAGGTGCGCCACGTCTTGATTCCGTGTGATTTCATGACCCCACATTGGTGAGAGTACAGAGAGGTAAATATGGGTGAATCTATATCACTGCTGCAGCAGAAACATATAAAACAGTTACAATTCCTTGTCCTGAAGGCCGGCCCGTCCGTGTCTTCTACGGCTCTTAAACAATTGCTTAAGGAGATTCAGATAAAATGTCCCTGGTATCCTCAAACAGGATCTTTGAAGTTAAAAGATTGGGAAATAATAGGGAAGACCTTGCATACAGAACCTAGAGCATCAGTAGAGGTTTTACAATCTTGGTTTTTATGTAGATTTGCAATTGAAGCCATAGCACCTGTTTCTTCACTGGCCTCTCTTACATGCAATGCAGAGGCCCCTCTTGCTTATTCTCAAGGGGTTCAATTGGTTTTACCTAAACCACCATCAGCTCTTGCTCTTTATCCAACTTTGCCTTCAGCACCAACCCTGCCTTTGGCACCAAAAGCCTTAGAACCTTCAGTGCCAGAGTCTTTATCCTCTCTTACATGCAATGCAGAGGCCCCTCTTGCTTATTCCCAGGGGGTTCAATTGGTTTTACCTAAACCACCATCAGCTCTTGCTCTTTATCCAACTCTGCCTTCAGCACCAACCCTGCCTTTGGCACCAAAAGTCTTAGAACCTTCAGTGCCAGAGTCTTTACCCTCAATGCCTCAAAAACCATTACCCTTAGAGGCCTACCCTCTTCCAATTTCACAAAGTCTTTCACTGACAGATCTGGCTGATCAGCAGCAGCATTTTTCTCTTCCCACCCCTCCACTCTCCACTTCAAAAAGTGTTCTTATAGATGATTTAAAGAATCAGACCTCTTCCTTAGAGGACATTAAAGAGAGCTCTGAAATATTGTCTGTGTGCCCAGTGCATTTCACTGAAAACCAAAAAACAACTGGCACAATTATTGAAATTAAACCTACTTCATATCCTATTCTAACTGAATTGCATGAAGAAATTCAGGACATGGGCTTACAAAGTACAAACAGGGAGCATGAAGCC